TTCAACTGCAACATGTAATTTCAACACTAGATATCACAAAATTCTACACACTGTACCTTTAAAGTTATGACTGGCATTTAAAAGTAAATTCTATAAATTACTAAATGAATGTGCTGCTAGTCCACAGCTGAAATATAAATATAATGGCTTTCAGGGCTACATAATAATCTGACTAAAAGTTGATAAAAAAGTTTTCTGGGTATATAAATCAGGGACTTTTACTCGCTTATATACAGCTGTTCAAACTACAGCTTTTAGCCTCTTTTTACAACAAACTTGCAAAGAAGATCCAACAATACCAGATGTATTTCTTGTGGGAAACTGAAATGAGGAATATCTGACTCTTATTCATTAGATGGACACGAACATGATCTTATGTGATGTTCACTTGGCTGTGGACAAATGTAGACCTTCTTTTTTGTGTTAAGACGTCACTCGTGGTCTACTTATACTATTCTCAACATTTCTAATGGAAAATAACTTTATGCACATTTGTGTCATTTGCACATCACAATGTCTTTATTGTTCTGTACAAAAGTATTTTCTTCTTGCTCGTGCAATCAATACAAAACACTACATTGAGAGGCGTATATAATGTAAAAGTTTATTCTATTGACCTTTAAAAAGATTATTTTATTCTCTTGTCTACCTCATTCTGACTTGCCTGCAGCTGTAACAACTGATTTTGTAACAGATTTTCCCCAGTGTGTGGATCAATAAAACGTTCTTATCTTAAATCAGTTCACCTCTGTTTAAATTTGTTAAAACTATTAATATTTTGGTAATTGAGTAGAATTTATACGACTCTCACTGTAATTTACTGTTCACATTGGATGCAGAAATGCTGCTGATTCAGTTTGAATTGATGACGTCATGCGTTGCCGAACTGCATCATGGTTCCGTTGCTTTGCTTGTGCTGCGTGTGGTAGAAGTTGAAATAAGCAGGCAGCGGCCAATCACCAGCTAATACTCATATGTCAGAATGAGGCTGGAGGTTTATCAGGTTTTGATGGACAGCTAGCGTGGCCCCGTTATCAAGAGAGTCAGGTTGTGTGATTTGTTGATGTCGTTGTGACAATCACGATGTCACCAAGCGACAGGCACATCCACCTTCAAGTAGTAAATCTGTGTGAGTGCTGCATAAAAAGTTGTGTGGATATGATAGACTGCAGATTGAGCTTTAGCCCCTGGATCATCAGAATATTGAATCCATCCAAAATATTGAGAAGTAGGTGGCTTTAGAATATTTTGATGACCACAAACCAATCGTATTGTAAAATCAGCAACATGAGTTTATAGTCAACACATCTTTAACCATGAGTTGAACATTGGGCCACATCTGACGTGTTTCTCCTCAGGTCACAAAGCCTCCTCCTGCTTCCACGCTGTACCTATCACTACAGGTGTAAATGCTGCTCTACATCCACACAGATGTGGTCCATCAAAGGTTAGGAATATTACACTCTAAGTAAAAATACAACTTTCTCCCTCCACCAATGTACAACATGAAGACACAAGGAGTAAAGCTTACGGCTGAAATAGGAAAAGGTGCTAGGATCGTTTGATGTGAACATCAACTGAAAAATGTCTTTGTTTAATTCTGACATAAATCATAAATTATCTGCTGAACCTCAAACAAGGATTTACTCAAATCTAACGCTGATTAAATGCTCAGATTTACAAATAAGAGAATAAAGGGAATGCTTTTTCATAAATCTTCCATTTTTGGCTCTTAAAAAATGATCTTCATACAAAACTGTTTTTATGGAGGTTGAGCGGCTCCACATATGCAGTAGAGTAAGACAAGTTGTTCATCCTGACCTGCATTGGAGGAAGGTGTCCAGGTAACTCTGAATATTCCACGCAGACACTCACACATGGTCAGCAGGAGGAAGCCGACGGAGGAAACACACTGATGCAGGAGCCCACAGACGGGCCTCGGGGCTGGGAGAGGTGGGCTGCAGAGCTGGGGGGAGGCAGGTGGTCGTCGTAGGCGATCCAGGGGTCGGTTTGACCGTTTGGGCCCAACGGGAGAACGAGCTGCACTGTTAGTGTGATCACACATAGAAAGAAAGCAAGAGAGAGAGAGAGAGAGAGAGGGAGAGTGGAGGGGTCCCAGGGCAGAGAGAGAGGGGGACGGACGGATGGATGGATGGATTGACAGAAAAATAGAAGAAGAGAGGGACTATCTCATCAGTGTGTGTACATATCAACATATGGACGACTGAACTTTCTTTTTCTTCCACAAACCACCATAGTGTGTGTGTGAGAGGCGACAGCAGCGAGACAGGACAGAATAGGGGTGTATTAGCACTAGTGGACAGTCAGCAGTTTGCAGCGACCCTCTGTAAAGCCCCGCTCCATTGTTTGTGGTGCTGGAGGCTTTAGCTGTGACCCAGTGGGGCCTTGTTTCTGGGCTTAGAGGGGCTGGACACTGGATACGAGTCAGACGCAACCACACCTCACATAGGCCAACACATCCTCTGCTTGTGGCACTTCATGACTGATGACCAAACATTCATTAAAGTCTTTATTTTTAGTTTTTTAGCAAATGAAAAGACTAAACAATGAATCTGTCGCAGCTTCCACGTCTGTGACACTCCCAAGACCATGAGTTCCCTTTAGAAATGTCCCTTTACAATCTGCATATATTTGGGACTATTTTTTGGAGCGGATTACCTCTCATTTGCTGTTCATGGGCGTACTTCCAGCAGCAGGATGGTGCATGTGAAACTGGGTCTAAACAAATTACAGCGAGTTGCACATTTGGATATAACAATAAAAGTAAATAAACCAAAGCACCCGCATGTTGTGGAAAAGTAAAACAGCCTTTATCAATATGGCTAATGCATGGTAAAGATAAAAAAGATGTTGCTGCACTCTGACCTTCATCTCAATGACTCACCTGAAGCGAAGAATGAACAAGACATTCAAAGGTTTGGGAAAGATCAGGAAGTGACATCACAGCTCATTATCATAAGAGACAGAGCAGGTAACTCGAATTAGAGGAATGTAACAGTTCGATTGCAGGAAAACACAGATGCAGCAGAAATCTGTACAGATATAAACACACATTACAGAGAAAAGAACACATCATTTCTTCATCAAGGACATAACATGAGTTGGATAGTGATACTCTCCCTTGCATGAAGTAGTTGATATCAACCTTTGAGAACAGAAGGACGACATCAGCAGCGATAAACAAACTACAGTGTGTTTTCACTATGAAGGAACTTGTGACCCAGAACAACTTTGTGTTAGTTACAGGAAAACACGGTTACACTGTTATGAAAACATAGTTACTGTTACTACAGTTCTATGACAGAGAAATACATCCAGCTTTAAAGGAACAGTGTGTAGAATTTTGTGATTTCTAGTTTTGAAGTTACATGTTGCAGCGGAACACCCCTCACCTCACCCTCTCCTTTCAAAAGTGAAAAAGAACCTGTGGTAACCTTCAGTTGTCATAAAACTCAAAAAGTGTATAGTATAGTTAATGAAAACTAAGACTAAAACTAAAATTAAAACTAGCAATGAAAAAATAATTTAGTTAACTGAAATAGAAATAAAAACGACAATTACAAAAAAATGAAAACTGAATAAAAACTACAATGAACAATACAAAACTAACTCAAACTAAACTGAATTGCAGATAAATTCAGCTTTGTTTTCTCCCTCGATTCCTGCCTGTCCTGCAGGTGATGGTTAAAGAATGAAATTAAAGGACTCGATAAACCATATTTGGTGTCACACATTGTTTCATCCTTTTTCAGTTTCTACAAGTCAAAGCTTTTTCTTAATACCTGGACAAACTAGACTAAAACTTAGTAAAAACTAAACTGAAACTACAAAATCACTTGTTGAACTAACTAAAACTAAAGTGAAATAAAAAAAAGCAAACTGAAAAACTAAATTAAAAAAAAAACTAATGACAATTTCAAGAAGCTTGGTCTGGACTAAAAAACATGGGGGCCTCCATAGAGAGGACCCCGTCCATGTAAATATAAAGTATTTAAATATAAAGGACTTTTTCTGGGGTAAAGAAAACTACAATTCATACAATTTAGATGAAACAAACTATTGAAAACATCATGAGGATTATTCTACATTAAATATCTGCCAATAGTTCCCTTTCACCTAACTCTTACACACTGGACCTTTAAATCAGTTTTGATACATTTGTTGTTGCTGCTGGTGAATCAGTGACATCCTGCAATCAGTGTGTTTCCATGATAACTTACACCCTAAGAAATAAAACAAGTTGTTTATTCAAATTATTCAGATTTTTCTAATTGTATTTTTTTGTAATGTAAAAAACAGTTTTAAACAACAGAGCTCTATTGAAATGATCCATGTGAACACATCCTGCTGGATTCTGTTTCTGTACAAATAAAGTTTGAATGTGTTAAGAAGATTAGATTTAGTTTTGTGGGGAATTATTATTTAAATTACCTTATTTATCTCAGTTGTATCCTTTAATCTAATAAATGGTAATAATATATGGTATACAGTGTACATATTGTATTCTGCTCCCTAATTTAGAGCAGGAACTATGAGGCACACCCTACAGGTATGTAACATGAGTGTTTAACATTGGTGGAGTGATATGATGAAAGGCGTGATGTGCCAAAGTGTCCCATGATGCTCTTAACTCCACCCTTTTTAACTCCACCAAGATTTTTTTTCTTGGTCAACACATTGTGCTTGTCCTCTCTGGTGCTTCAGAAAACTTTCTTATATGAGTTAAAGACTTTAAATGAGTCAGAGTGGAGACCTGCTGAAACATTCACATCCAGTACCGGCAAATCACATCTAATCCAATCACTGGGGAGAGAATTGAGAAATGATCTTAATTGGTTGATAACATTCGGGAGCATGAGTGGACGAGAGGAGGAGCTGAGATCTGAGACAGAGCGGAACGTTTATTTCCTTCGTCACAGAGGTCAAACAGTGTAAAACTTTACCACTTCATGTAAATACCAATGACACGAAGACCCAGGTTGTATAAAAGTAAAAAATGTTCTTTAATGTTTGACATATGTCTTTGAAAAACAGCTCAGGTATCATCACATTCACATTAAGAAAATAGGATAAAAGTCATGTAAATCCAAGAAATAAACTTGATGTGAAAGGGTAAATCCGTGGTGGGCAGCTGTAATGACACGTCTCCTCCTCTGGGCTGCTGAAGTGGACAACCATACCTGGGAGAGAGAAAGGGAGAGAGACCTCCAGTTATATATATATACAGTATATCTATATATATATATAGATATATATCTATGTATGTCTATTTAAAGACATTTCACTTGTGACTGATTGTAATTTAATTTGCAGTTTGGATTAATAGTCTCCTTGTGTTTTTATATATAATTAAATATTTGCTGCAGTTGATTATTTCCTGTTTCACTTTGAAGCTTCTTTTCTCCTGTGTGTCACTCTCACTTTACTTTCTGACTTTGTCGGGTTTCTCTCCTTTGTGATCGTCTGAAGCTGCTGTACTGCCTGAGTTCAATGATCCTGCCTCCTTCATACATAAATTGCATATTAAATAAATACAATAAATACATAGAATATATACACACACGTGTGTGCATTGTCCCTGAGCTCCTCACTCTCGTGTTCCAGTTCATCTGGAAGCATGTTTTACTTGTAGTTCTGCTGTTGGTTTTTCCCAGTGTTTCAGTTTTCAGATTTAGTTTGTGTTCTAAGTGTGTAACAAAGTGTGTAAAGCTGTTTTGGGTTTAATTCCACACATGTAGCCGATATAAAGCTTGATTCATGCTCCCTGTGTGGCAGGTTCTCAGCTGTTCACACACAACACTTATTCTAACTCGTAGCCCCTGACTACACACTCACTTTCTAATAAGCCACTTATGCTAATAAGCTGTTAATGTCATGGATTCATCATTTTAAAATGAGCCATTAATTAAATGGATCAGCTTCAGGGGTTTTATCACTGGCAGTAAAATGCTGCTCTTATAAATTGAATTGTAAACAAGAATCACACTCAGTGGAGCACAAGGCCCAACAGTCCCCTTGAAATCAAATTTGAAACTTAATAAGCAGCAAAGTCACATGTGGTCTGACTCTGTAGTGGAGCCCCCCCCACAAACCAGGCAGGTACGATGAGAACCAGCTGAGTCGAGGGTCGAGTCTCCACCAGTTACTGTTTGCACCCTCGTCACCACTCGAGTCCACTGAGAGGACACGGTGGTAATTAAAGTGCAGTTAGCTGAGGGACGTTATGATTATCCCTCTCAGCTCCCCTCTGCAGACACACTGCAGGACGAGGCTGAGTTTCATTTGTTTTCTCTTTGTGTCACTGTCATTTTTAGGGTCAAATTTGATTAGAGATCTTTGAAGCAATTTGTGATGGTGTATTGGAGAATACATCACATGTTCATTTCATAGGAGATCATCCTTTTATAATTGCAGCCTCCCTATTTTCTTTATTTAGATTTCACTTTCAATAATGGATCACATTTTCCTTGTAGCCACATTTGATCTTATATTTATCTCATCAGCAACACATTATTTTCACGTATTTTATTCATTTATTTTGTTTGTATATCAATGTGTTGATGTATGGGCTCGGTGCTGTTTGATATGATTGGGCATGTTCCAAAATGTGAATCTCATATATACAAGGAAGGTTTTCATGGGTTTTCATTTCTAATTTCATTTCTTTTCACCTGGAAAGTACTTGGCAATTCATCACGCAGCTTCTTTTTTTTAACCTCAGAAAGGATCGAATAGGAAACAAGTGTGACTGTCATCATTAGGACTGAAAACCACTGCGGTCGTCCCCTGACAGCAGAGACTCCATCACACTATTATGTGGGTGGTGCAGCTTGATGCTGCAGCGATAAGACACAGAGCTCACTGTTCTGTCACTTCATATGTCACTAAATATAATGTTCACATCCAACAAACAAAACATCATTCTTTTACAACAGTGAGACAAATAATCCCACTGGTGTATTAAAGGAGAAGTTGTACTATTATTCTTAAAATGCAATTTTACTACTGGTTTACACTTTTGACTGTTGGTGAGTGAACCCTGAGTCTACCACGCAGGTGGCGGGTGTGTGGGGGCTGGAAACATAAATAACCTCTTGAATTGGGCTGTGCTCTGTCCCATGGCGACACTGAATAGTTTAGATACTCGGGAGTGCAGGAGATATCTCAGGGTGTGTGTGTGTGTGTGTCCTGTTACAGCCACAGTATGTTCATGAGCAATAGCACTTAAAAGCCTTGTATTCTTGATATGTTTTTCTTAATTTTCATCCAGAAAAATGCTGACAACTGAGAAATGTGATGTGAGAATTTCAGATTCACTGTGGATTCAATGTATTTGAATGAAAAGTCGCTCTGTGTGTGAAGCAGCACATCTCAGGCTGGTCTGCAGAGACGATAGTGTGTTTGATTGTCACATCAAGACACACCTATAAACATCAGATCCAATAAACCACAGCTGGACTTCAAGTCGTTCTGGTCTGGACCGATTCATGTCTGACAGATAATAAATTACAAACAGAGAGAAATGCACATGTGTCGAGACATAAAGTGTTTATGATCATTGTGGGCTGCAGTTTATTACTGTATTGTTATTGCTCAATGAGTTATCACTGCAGGATGTCCATCAACATCTGGCAAAGGGAGTGCCAGTAAAAAAATATCCTTTCAGCTTATGTGCATTTACTTTTGTATGAGTGTTGATTTGTGCACTGCCCATTTCTAAATCAAATTAAAAAATAATGACACCTCCCAGGATTCTCTGGTGATTTCTCTGGGGAAAGTTTGGGATTTAACCAAGCTCAGATTTTCATCGTCAGTTTGTCCTCTCCTCCAGAGGAGAAGCATCTGAGTGAGATGAGAGCGAAGGTCTGTTGAAGTCATGTTAAACCTGCTCCAGTGCTGCACACAAGTGTTAGAAATCTGCTACTGCAACACAACACAGGCCAAATAACCACATAACCCAGTGTAAGATAAAAAACTAAAGTTTGATATTGAAATCAGAAATGTTTGGTCTTACTGATTTAAAAAAAGGTATGACACGGTTTAGGATTTAGCTTCCTTCAAATCCCTGCAACAAAATTAATAAAAACTTCAACTGCAACACTGCACTGCTTGTGGTCAGAAATACAAACTGTAGTTATTGTAAAAGTAAAAGTAGGAGTGACTGATTGATTAACTGACTGAAGAAATCAATCCAGAAAACCAATTTAAAAAGAGAGAAAACCTTATAAATTAAAGGTCAAACTACAATGGTTATACTGTAGCTTAAAAAGGAAAAGAAGACACATTTTCTCAGGAGACAGTTTCATGTGGTCTGAGTGAGCATGTGTTTGTACCTGGAACACAGAGGCTGGCGTGAGGGAGCGGAGCAACCGCACACTGAGCACCGTCAGCCGGGTTTAATCCGGCCTGAGCCGCTGAAAGAGCAGAGGCAGCAGTTTGACAGAGGATCTCTGCGAAAACACAAAGGAAACACATTATTATAACACCACACATTTTACACAATACTAGTCCTCTCTCCTCATGATAAAACAGCAGGGTGCAGGACCACATGTGGATAATAACTTTAAATGATAAAGTTTGAAACTTTGATGATCACTTTATATTTGAACTCACTTGATATAACATGTGTCTGTTATGTCTCTGAACTGCATGTCTAATAATAGATGAAGGTCAGCAGTGAGTTACAGCCTTATATGGACCAGCAGGACTCACTGGTGCTGTATGCACAATAAATACTCGACTGGAGATGGAAACAGGTTTAAAAGAAATACTCTTCATGGAAAAAGTATATTTCTCGACATTGACATAGACTAAACGTAAATATGTGAATATGTACCTTCATTTTGTTGAGACAGCCGCTGGTCCGAGCGTGAGTCTGGAAACTTTGCAGCTCCATTCATAGAAAGTTTTTACGCACCGACCATCTCCGCGCAGGGAGAAATAAAACGCGTCCATGTCCACGCGTGGAATCGAACGTTGCGTGATGGACTCATTCAGCAGAGTAAAGTTCCATCCATTCCAGCAGCGATGTACCAGGGGACCAGGCTGTGTGCCGCCGCCATGTCAGAGCTGCTGACCGGCGCCGTTGAGGCTCCTCCTCCTCTGCTGCGCACAGATGGACGCTCGTATGGAAACATGGAGGCTGGAAAACTCTGCAGGTTTGTTGGGGAACAAACTGACAGCTCCACGTTCTATCTTTATAAAATAATAATATTAATTCTAATAGTTAGTATTCTGTTGAGTGTAGGCCACAGTATTCAGTATATCTTAATTACTTAATGACAAATAGATGTTGGCTAATGAGATGTTTAGACTCATTACACCTCTTCACTTTTTACAGTTTATTGAGTTGTAGATTTAATTCTTAGATGATAAAAGATGTCATGTTGTCCAGCAGTGCACACTCAATAACTCTCATTGACCAAATCAAATGTATATAGGAAAAAAAATAAAATGAAATCTCTCTTTTATAAAAGTTCAGTCAGAAACACTCTCATCATTAAACTATTTATTGCAGCAAATGGACGCTTAGTTAGACTTGGGGCTCATGGCTCCACTTGTTGAAAAGCAGAACAAGCAACAACAGGAAGCGCAATGCAGAAAACTCCCCAAGACACTTGAGTAACGTTTGACACTTTGGATCCTTGTTACCACTTTAAACTAGAAAAGGTGGAGGCTGGGATGGTTGAGGTTAAACCTGTCAGCGGCAGGTAGTGACGGGGTCAGTCTGTCATAGATTAAATGGACAGCCTTGGTTGTGATTGGTGTGTGACTGATTGGAATCAGCTGCAGGGGCACATGACTGCTCCGGAGCTTTGTTGTACCTGTGTCAACACACTTCTTTGGACAGTTGCCATAACAACAGTGTCTTTGCTATTTAGAAGTTTGAAATCACTCCACACAGTGGACATTCGATTTGATCATCGTCAATCACTACAGCTGCAAACTTCTAAAATCAAATGTTTGTTCCTCCAAATGAAATTACTTTAAAAACAGTGAGTTTAAAATCCTTATTTTATAATTACAGTTCAGGCACAGCAAAGTCCAGCAAAGTAAATTGATTCGCTAAGAAAACACAATATTTTTCTCCCTGAGATGAGCTAAGATAAAAAAACAAAGTGATTGATCTTTAAAATGAGAAAGCTATCAATTAACATTCATGAGTAATGAAAAGATGAAACAGTGACCCCTAGTGTTACAGCATGATATAATACAAACCACAGGATTATTTGAGTGTTTAACGTTCATGTTAGCTGAAGTTTTGTTTTGTTATAAACTGCATATAAAGATGAACAAGATGATAGCCCCCCCCAAAAAAACCTGGTGGCTGGCTGCAGTCTAGATAATAAACTCAGCCTCCTCCATGTTAGCAGATGGGACATTGTCAAAACTAAACAAAGCACACATCAAATACATGTTCCTTAACAATGGCTTCTGCCATTGTCTGTACTTCCTATCACTCGAAGTGTTCATTAAAGGGGTGAAACATCCTGATTGACAGCTGAGACTGACTCTGACCTTGATACTGCAGCTTTGCACAAAACAATCACTGCAGACTCCGAATCAGAATGATGGCGGCACTCGTATGTTTGGTGCTGAGCTGATGACAGACACAAAAACTGGATCTAACTGACTGCATCTTATTACATATCGAATCCTAGGTCAGCATCGATCGGAACAGCAAAGAGACGTAAAGAATTTCTCGCCCGAGAAACACTCAGGTAGCCTTGAACAATGTGTAGACTGGCATTACCGAGCTGTTAAGTGGTTTGAGGCATATTTCTCTCATAGTGGAGTTTGGCACTGAAGCTGTGATAAAACAAGTCAGCTGGAAATTTTATTCTCACACACAGAGAAGCTTGGCTCCACCGAGGGCTTGTCTGCGGCTGATGTTTCAGCTAAGGGGTTTCTATTGTTTCAACTGATTCGTCCAAGTGTCCTTGAGAATCTTAAGACATACATTAAATGTGCAACTACAGCTCTGTGCATGTTAAACAGAGGAGTGCCAGTGTTTGCATTATTGGCTGTAGAACCTAACAGATGACTTTGAGGTTTGAGTGTTGGGTGAGAGGCGTGCTGTAGTCGGAGTCCCAGTCCCTCTCAAATACGGCCTTCAGCTGTGATTGGACGGTCGGCTCCATGGACTGTGATGCAGTCTGATTGACAACCAATGCAGAGCCAGCGGTGTGCACAAAGTAGTCACCTGACCAGTTAGACGTACCTGGAAACAGAACCACAGAGATTATACTGAAGAGCATTCTTCACTTTTGCTTAAAGAAAAGGCTGAGAGGACATTCATATTACTATAAATATTAGTGGGTAAATCAAAGCTAACTCACCTTTATTTGATTAATCAATTAATAATTTAGCGTATTAAATGTTTTAAAATTACATCAAGACTTTTTTTACACAAATTTCTTGTGATATAATTAATCATATTTGGTAAAATTACATGTTTTAAGGGGGAAAAAAGTCTTATCATTGAATTATATTAACAGTCAGGTGTGTGAGTGTTCATCACAGCATGATGCATTTAAAAAAGCTTGTGTGTGTCACATGAAACATACAACGTATCTACAGCCGTACCGATATAAGCGATCTTGTCCGTCACCATGTACTTGTTGTGGTTGACTCTAGCGAAGGGAATCTCCTTCTGCTTGGGGCTGGCAGGAACTACAAACAGCCTCTGGATAGTGGAACAAGTTATCATGAAAGGTTTTTACTACAGGATATGCAGGATTGGTTTTACTACAGGATACACATCACGATATGTACAATTTCCTTTCTAGTTTTCCTTTCTTCGGACAGAAATAGAAAAGATGCACTTACCACCTGGATGTCAAGTTTGCTCTTGGGCTCGTAAACGGAGGCCAGAGACTTCAGGAATGGGATCATGACGGGCTGGGTGCTCGCCCAGCAGCTGATCAACAGGCGAACTTTGATTCGCTTCTCGTATGCCACTCTCCTCAGCTGGGTGTCAATGTCTGCCCAATACCTGCAGGGGGCGCAATGTGATGAGTATGAGGGAATAAAACCATCTCAAATTCATTATTACATGATTGTAGTTTTTCTAAAATCAAATCTAAATAACACCTGTGCAGTTTCTTTTTATTTCAATCAATGACTCGTCACAATTATATGTGCCTTTCTAACAGACAGTTTTTATATTATTTTTTTTAGATTCATTATCTATTCTTATTTCTATTTCTTACTACATTTTCCCCTCTCGCTGCTGTGTCATGTTTGAATTTCCTCTGTCTTATCTTATACATGTTAGTACTCTGGTTTTAAAAATCAAGAGGATGAAACAGACGCACTGTGGTCATCAAATCATCATCTGACTCTCCTCTACTCTCTCTTGCTGTATTATATCTGACACATCTGTACCTTTTAGGGTGTGAAAACTCCATGGTGGGCAGGTAGTTCATGACAGCGATGTAGATGAAGCTGTCTGCATCGTCCATCACACTGAGGACGGACTGAAGGTCTGGAGTCCTGCCGGCTGCACAGAACGACGGAGGGGAACTCTGAGAGAGAAGTTAGAAATGATATTTGTTCATGCTTATTATTTGCTCAGAAAGAGTTTTAATGAAAGAAATGGTTTCACGAAAATTAAGTAAAACACAAAGGAGAACAATCTTCATCCTTTATCCCTGCATGTTTCTCACCGATAGATAAACGTCAGACGGCGTGTTGTTGAGCGGCAGCTGCAGAGGCGTGTCCTTGTTGTAGAGGGTGGAGAAGCTGATTGGCCACGGCGATGGGATCGACTGACTCTCCCCCAGGAACCAATAGGCTTCAAAGATCTTACTCAGGTCTGCGGCCAAACAGCTGCAGTTGTAGACGACCGCGCCCAGCTCCTTCACCTGGAACACACCAGAACATTCACTTATTCTCAATCACTTGGCTTTACAGTGTTACAGCTTGTAGATTTTTAAAATACGTTAAACACGAGAAAAAGCAAAATGACTACATTACAACAATAATTATACTATGTTTACAACTATCAATCAACCTGTTGATTCTAGAGATCAGCTATTTAGGGATCAGAATAAATCTGAAGATTTCGAAAACACAGTTTTATAGGATGTTGGTGCAGACTGAAAACAGGATGTTTTAGGATGAAATATCTGATGATGTGAGCGAAACTTAGGATGTGGTTTGAGACATTTCCGACCATCACAGTATTGAAGCTAATTTAAATGATTGCGACAGTGTGGCATATGGCCATAAGCTTCAGCTAACACAAGAACTTTCTGTTAGAAGCAGAAGAAATATTAAGACTGGACTGAGCTCCATGAACACCTTTGATTTCTAGCTTAGAATCTTTGAATGATGAATTACTGAATACACATAAAACTTAAAAAATAAATCTCTCATGCACTGCTTCTCATTATTTTTGATACCATCAAAAACCCCATAAAACTATTTAGAAAAACTATTTCACATTCACAAAGAAAAAAAAACATGTTCGTGAACCAGTTTATTCTGGTGACACACATGTGCGTGTGTGTGTGTACCTGTGTGAGGGACCTCCAGTCCATGTTGGCACTGCCAATGTAAATGTGCTTCTTGTCAACCACCCAGAACTTAGTGTGTAGGACGCCTGTAGTAAGCTCTCTCATATTCACTGTCCTGATATCAGCTCCTGAAACATGCGCACACACACGCACACACACACACACACACACACACA